AGGGAATTGGAAAAGCAGAAGGCAGAGAAAGAGCTGTCCCGCATTGAGCAGGCTCTCATGGATCCTGGGCGACAGCCAGAATCAGCAGATGATTTTGATCGACTAGTACTAAGCTCCCCCAACAGCTCCATCCTGTGGCTGCAGTACATGGCTTTCCACCTTCAGGCCACAGAGATTGAGAAGGCTCGGGCCGTGGCAGAGAGAGCCCTGAAGACCATCTCCTTCAGGTCTGGACTTTGGCTTCCTCACTGTAGGGAGGAGTCTTCAGACAGAGAGCCCTGTATTGCCCAAGTTCTAACTGCAGAGTTTGCCACCATAGGACATTTCTTTCGAGACGAGCTAGCAGTGTGGGTGACTGTCCCAGGACTCATTGGTTCCCAGGCTTTCTTTCATTGGTGTGGCCATCTGTGAAATAGATCTGCTCATTTATATTTTATGTCCTCTTAACTGAAATAGCTACAGGTGACATTTATTAGAGTCTTTACACTTAAACAAGGTACACAGTTTGGAGCAGAAGTAGAATGGGGAAGACAGCTCTGTATATACCTGGTAAAAACCCAGGTGGCCATGTTCCAGGCTGAGTAGAATTGTTCTCTGAAGCCTAAAGAAGGATGACTAGCCTTGTTTTACTTCCTTGGGGAGAGAATCAGACCCAAGAGTCTGCTTCCAGCCCAAACCTCAGGCCAGTTTGTGACCTGGAGGTTTCCTTCCAGGAGTGGAGTTAGAAGCCAGGGGAGCCTCAGTCCTGGCAGTTGGGCAGGGGTGCAGATTCCTGATGGTGTGCAAGCTACAGTGGGGATGGGGCCTCTCAGTGTTTGCACTCGCCAATGGGATCTGAGGACATGGGTGGAGCTTAAGAGAAGGAAGTAGGCCATCAAATCCCAGGTGGGAGTGGAGGATAGTTGGGCTGAGTTGATGGCGCTTATGTGTGCCTGCTCTGCCCCCAGAGAGGAGCAGGAGAAGCTGAACGTGTGGGTGGCACTGCTGAACCTGGAAAACATGTATGGCTCTCAGGAGTCTTTGACCAAGGTCTTTGAACGGGCTGTGCAGTACAATGAGCCTCTCAAGGTCTTCCTCCACCTGGCTGACATCTACACCAAGTCTGAGAAGTTCCAGGTAAGACAGCCAGATGGCCAGCTGCAGGGTGCCTTGAGCCTCTCAAAAGGGCCCTCCTAGAGGTCCGAGGGCCAGCACTCTCAGGGAAGAAACTCTGGATTCTAGGTCCTATCCTGCCCCGGGCTCACTGCCTGATTCCTGGGCCCTAACTTTCTCATCTTCAGGTGAGAGGAGTGGTCTCTTCCCACCTGCAGTTTGGGAAACTGAGGTGAAGGAAGTGATGACTTAAGAAATGGAGGGACAGCAGACCCTGGAGTGTATGACTAGGCCACTGGCGAGGCATTGTCGACCAGGTGGTGTTCTGACCTGCTGTATCCTTCTCCTCCTGTTCCCACTGTATCCCCACATTCTTTTCTAATACAGGAACAGCCTGAAGGGCGCTGGATGAATAGGAAAACTCCCACCCTTTCCTGCCACTGCACACCTCACCTCTCCTTTGGCCTCTAGAGATGGGCCTACATGTGACTTGGCATCAGGGAGCCCAAGTCTTGCTTCTCATGAATGTTGCAGCCTGTCTTTGTTGTTGTCCCTGTGAAATACCCACTCTTCAGCTTAAGCTCTCTTTCCCACAGGAAGCTGGTGAGCTGTACAACCGGATGTTGAAGCGTTTCCGTCAGGAGAAAGCTGTCTGGATCAAGTATGGTGCCTTTCTTTTGCGGAGGAGCCAGGCTGGGGCCAGTCACCGTGTTCTGCAGCGGGCCCTTGAGTGCTTGCCTACCAAGGAGCGTGAGTGTTCTCTCCTGGTTCCTGAACATGCTAGGCTCTCTGATATCTAGCAATAGGGATTGGCACCTTCTCTTCCAGGGATGGTAACTTCTGAGTTAGGAAAGCCTTATGGAGGGTATGGAGCTGTCTTTTTATATACTCATGAATACAGTGATATTTCTTACATTTTAAATGCTAAACCCAAAAGATTGGAGGGTCAAAAAGTAATTAGCATTTATTTTGTTGTCCCTGGAACCCCACACTCTCACCTATCCTCTAGTGCCCATTTGTTGTGTATTTGGCTCTAAACCCACCCCACTGTCCTTTTTCCTCTTTGCCCCTCTTGTCATAACTAGGTATTGACCCAGGAGTGGAATTAGGCTCACTCTGCCCCTGTAGCACATTGTGTTGAGTGGAGGGGTCTGTCAGTTGACTAGGTGTCTTAAGTGCTCTTCTCCCCACAGATGTGGATGTGATTGCCAAGTTTGCCCAGCTGGAATTCCAGCTGGGGGATGCAGAGCGAGCAAAAGCCATTTTTGAAAACACACTGAGCACCTACCCAAAACGCACAGATGTCTGGTCAGTCTACATTGACATGACCATCAAGCATGGCAGCCAGAAGGAAGTCCGGTGAGAGGGGAAGACAGACTGGGGCTGATTTGGCGGGGGTAGTAATGGAGGTGTTGGCCCACTGATAAGTTTTTAGCCCCAATGCAGCTCACAGTTCTCTTGTAGTATAGAAAAGCAGCTTTGACATGACTGCAAGCCCCATGGCATTCAGTTTTCCAGCCTCAAAGGCCAGCCTCTGATCCATGTTTGCACCTTTTGGTGGGAAGTGGCCTGGTCCCTGGCTTGGGAGTCAGCAGACTTGGGTTTCCATCACGATGAACACTGTGCCTGATTCATCGTGCAAAACTTTCACAGGCAGGATCTCACATATCCCCCAGCATCCCCACAAGGTAGTGAGGGTAAGAGGTAGGTAGACCAAGGTCTAGAAAGAACACGTACGTAACTCAGGCCCTTCATGAGGTTTTTTTTGTTTTGTTTTGTTTTGTTTGTTTATTTATTTTTTTAAGTTTTAGATGGACACAATATCCTTATTTTACCTTTATGTGGTGCTGAGGATCGAACCCCGTGCCTCACGTATGCCAGGCGAGCACGCTACCACTTGAGCCACATCCCGAGCCCCTCTTCATGAGTTTTAAGCATTGGTTCTCTCATGGATCTGTGCTTCATTGTAGTCCCTATTCTAGTAGCCTTGTCCCCACTCTGTGTGGCTCGAAGCCAGTAAGTCCTCTAGCATCTCTAAGTACCTATTCATTTGGAAAATGAAGGTGTGGTGTCACTTCAGTTTATCACAGGAATTCTTTTTTTCTTAAACAATTTTTTTTTAATATTTATTTTTTAGTTCTAGTTGGACAATATACCTTTTATTTTATTTATTTATTTTTATGTGGTGCTGAGGACTGAACTGAGGGCCTCGCACATGCTAGGCAAGCGCTTTACCACTGAGCCACAACCCTAGCCTATCACAGGAATTCTTAATGATGATAAAGTCAGAAGTGGGAGTGCTGGACGACAGAGGGCCCAGAGCCTGAGTGACCGCTAGCTAGGTGGGTGACCACTAGCTAGGAATCATATGACTGGGACCACGAGACATTTGCTTCTGTTCTTCCTTATAGAGACATATTTGAGCGTGTCATTCATCTGAGCCTGGCCCCCAAGAGAATGAAGTTCTTCTTCAAGCGCTATCTGGACTATGAAAAGCAACATGGCACTGAGAAGGATGTGCAGGCAGTCAAGGCGAAGGCCCTGGAATACGTGGAGGCCAAGAGCTCAGTGCTGGACGATTAGTGGCTGTCTGGCTCCACTGGACACTCAGCAGTGGGCCAGCACCACTGTCCCCCGACCCTCCTTAGGCACCTGGGCACTTGTAAAGCTATTGCCTGAGGATTTTATTTAAGTGCAGCTTTTTCTGCAGCATCTTTGGGGTAATCCTGTCAGGATGAAAAAAGAATTGGAGGCCTCCCTTCCTTTTTAAAAATGTATATATTATATTATTATTATTATTATCATTATTATCATCATTTTGCAGGGCTGGAGATCAAACTCAAGTCATTGCACATGCTAGGCAATCAATCACCACATTCTCTGGCCCTTGAGGTTTAATTTCTCTTTACTTGTTCTGTTTTATTATGGATTTGTGTCATCTTTTTTGAGGCTGTTCAGTGATTACAGGCAGCAGTTTGGGGGGCTCCCAGAGAAAACAAGTGTCCGTCCTTCAGGAGAGCTCCCTGAGAACCAAGAGTAGAAAGCCTAACTCCTGTGGATCTCATGGTCAGGATCCTGCTTTGTTCCTGGCAGGCTCTCAGTCCAGCCAGAGGGGTTAGTAGTTCCCAGGAAGCAAGCCTTCTGTTAAGGCATTGCCTCAGGCCAGCTAGTACCTCCTGCCCTTTAGTGGAGGCTGGGACAGGAGGACAAAAGCAGGTCCTAGAAGGGAAAATCAAAGAACCTGGATTGCTGAGAAAGCCACAGTGTTGACTTTATGTGCCTGGTAACACTCACCCCCAGGCCCACTGTGGCCAGGTGACCTCACCTCTCCCAAGCTGGTACATCTCAGAGTTCTGGAAGAATAGTGATCCTTGCTAGTTGTTGAACCCTTTTCTTTTTGGCTTGGTCTTAAGGGAATTAAACATTTTCTCTGGCACAGCCTTGAATATCCTGAGAGCTTTTCCCTGGGAAATGACTGAGTTGTATGCCAGGAAGCAGGACAGGGATGAAGGAGAGCATCAAAAGGTTTTAAGAGGTGGTGGAGGTAACCAGGGTGAGGCTGGGAGGGAGGAGAAATTGGGGAGGGCTGATTCTTGGACATTAGCACTGGGTTTTAGGGGCTACATTTGTCCTATGAAGAACAGGATCTTTTGACTCTTGAAATTTCCAACTGAGCTTCCCTCTGAGAAAGGTCATGTTCTCTCTGGTCCAGATCAAATCAGAAAACTGAATCCAGTTGCCAGAAAATTCAGGCCTAGGACCACCCTTGCATGGACACCTGGCCCTCCCAAGCTATTTCCACTTCTGTGCTTCCTTTTAGTCTTGTCCCCTTCACTCCTGTACAGACTGGGATCTGGGATCCTGTGTGCGTGACTGCCCATTCGGTTACACAGATACCAATTTAGTCCTTTATAGTAAGAAATGATTTATCCAAAATTTAAATACATGAAATCATACCAGAGGCATACAACAGAGGACAGCTTCCCAACCATGCACCACTGAGCTCAATGTCCCTTTGCAATTAGATACAAAATTAACTGCACAATGTATTATACAAGGAACCTGCAGTGCATTTCTGTCACCTGGCTCTTCCGGCTGAAGCTTCAGCTCAGAGTCCCACCTGTCAAAAGAAAACCTATGTCATGGTTAATTGGAGTCAATTAACCATGGTCTGGAAAAGAGGCTTTTCCACAAAGCTATGACCCAAGTAGGCTAATAGCAACAGGAGAGGCTTCAGGCTTAAGAGCTCTCCTGTCAGAGCAGACTGCATTGTCCACAGGATCCTTGTGTCCTCTTCCCTGACCTGTTTGGTCAGGAATCTGTGATTTAAAAAAAAATTCCCTTCTGGTGCTGATGTGAACAGGCAGTGGGGGGAGTGGGGTTCGGTTTGGAACCAAGTGGTACCATTTGCAAAGAGTGAGTCAGGCAGGCTTTTAGGAGGCTAGCAGGGCCATCTCCACATTGTCGGGGGCTGTGCCATTGCCAGCTAGACCCTGGGCCCACTTGTGCAGGCGACTGTAGAGCGGGAGACCCTGGTTCTCCCGGTACAGATAGACACCAGTGATGGCGTTCCACTGTGGCCGTGGCTGTGTGCCTTGCACTTGGAATTTGGCGACCATCTCTTCATCATCTTTGTTGAGTGCCACAAAGCCAAAGAAACGGCGCACGTTGTTGGCTGCAAGCACCCTGGAGTGCACCTCTGCAGTGCGCTGGAACAGCTGGTCTTCGTTGGTACGGTACTGTGCCCAGTAGGCCTCCTGGCGGTAGCTGAGTGGTGAGCAGTAATGCTTGAGGCACTTGGTCAGGAACACCAGGATGGCCACCACGCCGATGAGCAGCCACCCAAAGAGCTGGCCAAAGAACGGGCAAGGATCAGGAGGGGTAGGGAGCTGTCTTGTGTCACTACCCACCCCAAGAATAGTGGAAGGAACAGATTCTGCTTCTGTGGGGAGGTAGGAAATGCAGGCCTGTTCTTTCCCTTACTTCCTTTAACTTGTGCACCTTCCCTGTTCTTAAGCTATGTTTCTTGCATGTTCTGCCACCACTTCAAGCCCAAAGGTACCCCTCCATCATTTCACCCATCAAAACCCAGTTCAGCAGTTGGGAGTGTAGCTCAGTGGTAAGAGCATTTTGCTTAGCATGTGTGAGGCCCTAGGTTTGAATGCCAGCGTGTGTACACACACACCCAACCAACTCAACTACCAGGCTTAGTCAGATGCTATCTCCAGGAAATTTTCAAAGGCCCCTCTAGGAGTGATCTTGCCTTCCTGAATCCTTCGTGGCCTGGTTCACCTTGGATCACTAACTGCCTTGATTTGAGATCACCCATGTGCTGGTCATGAATGCTTGGGTATAAACCTGTCCAAGATTATGTTGGCAAGGACCATCAAGGCCAATTGTACAGAGATCTGTGGGCATTTGATCAGCATCATTTTTTTAAATATTTATTTTTCAATTTTCAGCGGACACAACATCTTTGTTTGTATGTGGTGCTGAGGATCGAACCCGAGCCGCACGCATGCCAGGTGAGCGCGTTACCGCTTGAGCCACATTCCCAGCTCCCTTTTTTTTTTTTTTCTTTGTTGATGTCTCTGTCTACTTAGGTTTCTTACGTTTCGGAGAGAAGACCTTTTCAGGAAGGTCTTCTTGTGCTCCTTCCTGTCACCCTCACCCTCTGCTTCTCTCTCTCCTGACCAACCTCCTCTCCTTCAAAATGCAGCAAAAGCTGGCCAGGATCGGGCAGTAACTGCTTCTTCCTGACTTAATGCCCTATCCTGCCCCAGGAGACCCCTTGTATCAGCCACACATGAGGCTGATCCAAGTGTTGGGTCTCAGCCTTTCTGGGACAGGAATGGGATCATCTCAGCCAACCACACTACGTTATCAGTTCACAGCCCACAGCAAATGCTTCTGAGGTGGATTACAGGCCCATGCTCACCCTGGCTAAGGTAAACGGCCTATACATGATCAAAGCTCAGTCTGAACTAGAATGTTCCTTCATTGTTAAAACTGGGATTGAGGGGCTGGGGTTGTGGCTCAGTGGTAGAGCGCTCGTCTCGCACGTGCAGGACCCTGGGTTCGATCCTCAGCACCACGTAAAAAATAAATGAGTGAAATAAAGGTATTGTGAATAAATATTAAAAAACAAAAACTGGGGTTGATGGGTATAGCTCAGTGGTAGAGTGTGCTTAGCATGGGTGAGGCCGTGGTTTCAATCCCCAGCACCAAAACCAAAACCAAACCTCTCTTAAATTGGGGCTGAAATTGACTTGTCCCACCAAACACTAATGCACAGTTTGTTAACCAGCTCTGATGCCTAATGCCAACAATCTATTGCTTTCTTGGAAACCTTAACCCCTGAGTATTGATCCCCATTCACCACCTAGGGAGGAAGAGCCGCTTCTTGCACAGCTCCTTACCTGGGACTCGTACTTGAGCCTGCGGCTGACCTCCTCCCGGAAGCCTGACAGGTTGGCAGGGCCCTCCCCACAAGGAAACCTAGCCAGGATCTCGGTGGCATGGGCTAGTGGGAAGCCCTCTTCCTCAGCTGTGAGTGAGGAGGGGTCCACAAACTCACTGAGAGCACAGACATAGGCCTCTCCTCGAAGCAGGGAGATGACAGACCAGGTGACGGGGGCCACAGCTGCACGGCCAAGGATGGAACTTAGAAGGAGAAAGTTGGGAGCAGCTGAGCAGTTCTTGGTCCTCCGATACTGGCACTCGGCAACTAGGTTCCAGGTGTGGTTGTTGAGGATGACACCGATGAGGAAGAGTGCCAGGGCGGGCACTCCGATGGCTGTCAGCCCATACAAGTAGTTCCGGGCTGGTGAGCAGGGACAGTGGAAGGCCACCACAGAGAATAGCTCCTGGCTGCCCACTGTGCCCAGTGCTACCAGCCCATTGAAAATCATCACATCCTTGCTCTTGAAGAAGAGGGACAGGAAGCGAAAGTTCTCTGCAATCAGGGCTGCCATGGTGACTGGTTGGCTGGAGACGGAGTGGAGCAGAGGAGGCAGAAGGGAAAAGGACTGATGGTTCCAGGTGGGACTATGAAGACGTGCAGGCTTGAGGACACCTGGAGGCAGGGCATGGTTGTACCATTTTATTGGCTACAGTAGCTGGTGTGGTGCTTCCTGCAGGACAGGAGATGGCTGATAAACATTTGCCTATGAACATGGTGGGTATGTGGGGTCTGTTGACAAAGGAGGAACCCGATCCTGTGGAACTGATGGTGGCCATTATGCTGAGTCCTTGCCATGTGTCAGGTGCTCTCCATCCCCACAATTCCTCATTGAGCTCTTCTATGGAAGGGGAGGCTTCCTGAAGGTGAGCCACTGGTCAGGGTCACACGTGACAGCTGAGATTCAAGGTCTATCTGGCTCTTTTTTTTTTTTTTTTTGCCGCCACCACCACCTCCAGGATAGGGGTTAGGAATGGCCCTGTGGTGGTAGGGGATGTGGGATGCTTTCCTTCTGGGATTTCTGGATGCTAATGTCCCAGACTGACTGACCTTGGACATTGAGAGAGTGTCAAATCTGTAGTGGTTGTCTTGGCTGGGCTGTTATTCCTCTATTTTCTCTAACTCCTGCTGACTTTGCTTGTGATCCCTGCCCTATGCAGCAGCCTCCCAGCAGCCCGGCTCCACCAAGTCCTGGGCCTGGGCCCTGCCCCACTTGCCAGCAGGAAGAAGCCTCCTTGAGGCAAGGCTGTATCTTGCCCACCACCCCTTCCGGAGGCTGCTCTGTTTGTTCTGGGCTGCAGCAGCGCTGGCAACCTGCCAGGGAGTGGGCCTGGCCTCAGGCTCCTGCAAAGTTTTTGGCCCCAACTCCTTACCCAAGCGCCACCCACAGGCCCTGAGAGACAAGCCAGGGTGTGGCCCAAATCCTCCCCATCAGGAGGATGAAAAACAAAACTCCCCAGGCTAGAGGAAGCCAGGGAGTGGAGGGAGGGGTGCACAGCAAGCAGAGGTGGTTCTTTCGGTGGTCATCACTACATCTCTGCCCGTCCCCACCTCTGCCAAGTCTGCCAGATGGGCCCAGGCAGGGCCATATGGCCATGTGGGCTCCAGGAGGAAGAGGAGAAATCTGACTCCACAACTCAGAACCAGGGGCTCCCATCTAACTGCTTGGGAAAAGGACTTTGTCTTATTGCGGGGGATACATGAGCTAATGGCAGTCCCGTCTCCCTCTTCCCTTTTGATTTCTAGGCACCTCATTAGCTCCCTGCGGGGCCCAGAGTCCATAAACCCACCCAAATTTGGGTATAAGAAGTCTGGACAGAGTGGGTGATGATAGAGGGTGAATCAGGCTATCTTCTGAGACCACTGTGCTGGGGACAGCCTATTTCCAGTGGAAGTGGGACCTCCTCCAACCATCAGTGCAGATAGGAGACAGACAGCTGGTGGTGGTTGGGCGGGGGACAGCTCCCTGGGACAAAACCTGGGCCACCTGAGAGGAGCCCTGCCATGCTCCTCTGACACCTGGCACACCCAGGGAGGGGCTCCTCCTTACCTGGGGCTGGCTGCAGGCACTGGTGGCCTTGGTCTCCTGAAGGCTGGACTCAGTAGTGGTGCAGGCGTGGGAGACTTGAGGCAGCAGTCCGGTCGCACCCTAAGTGCCTCTGCAGGCGCCCCGGGCTCCCTCCCGCTTTGCTTCTGCACGGGAGCTAAAAGTTTGAGACCAGAGGGCTTGGGGCTGGCGTCTGCAGACAGACTTAACTCCAGGCATCTACAGGCAGATCTCAAGCACCTACAGACAAATTTAACTCCAGAAAAGAGAGAAGGAAACAGTGGGATGGAACCCGCGCATCAGCGAATGGAAAAAGTGCCTCCCCGGCCAGGAGAGGAGGGTTAGGAGGGTTGGGCGGGCAGGGCGGGCGGCCGAGGGCGGCGCGAGCGGAGAGGAAGTGGAGGCGCTTGTTGAGCTGCTGCTGCCCAGACCAGCGCTGCTCGCTGCTCTTGGTGGCTGGCACTCCACCTCCGGCCTCGACCCTACCTGGACGCGGACGCGGTGGGGGTAGCTGGGGAGGGTCTCAGCAGGAGACAGGCAGCAGCTCTGGCCTGGATCTGCCCCCATTCCAGTTTCAAAAGCACCCCTTGCTTGATCCCACCTCTCCACCCCCCACCCCCAGCGCGCAGGCAGAAACTACTAGAAGGAGCCCCTGTTCAATTCCTAAGGTCGTGGGAGAGTGCCATCAGACAAGGTGGTCTCTCTGAGGACACAAAATGCCAGACCCCACCCCAGTCTGGCCCTTCTCCTGAGCTGTCTGCCCCTGACTGAACAAACCATCCCCCATGTGGCTCTTCCCTCCATAGTTCAGCTAAGTCCCAGAACCACTTCACATCTCTGGAAGGCTCATAGTTGAATTCAGGAGTCTAGGATCTTCTGAGGCCCAAGGGGCACAGCCTGGCTGGCAGGTGGAAATTAGGAGGCCGATTTCTGAAGGAGCTTCCCAGCCTGCCCCAGAAGTGGTCCTATCTGTGGGAGTGTGCAAGCTGAGGCTGAAGAGTCATGGGTCAGGAATGCTGAAGAAGAGAGTTCTAAGGACAGGCCACATGGCCCCTGCCAGCTCTGCAAGGCTGTGGTTCCCTGATGGTGGAACTGCTGAGGGATGAGGAAACCTTGCCCGGCTTGTCCACACGCAGGAATGAAGGGGAGAGACCATTTTGGTGTGTTTGCTTGTGTGCTTGTTTCAGACCCTCTGGCCTCAAATCCTTCCCTAAGAGCTACTTCCTTTTATCCTCACCACAGGCCTAAGAAGCAGGTCTTTTAACAACCCCTGCATGGAGCACACTGCAGCTCCTAGGGCCTAGGTGACTTGCCACAGCTCCTGTAGCTCTGGTGTTTCCACCCGGGTCTGCTGACGCAAAGCTTTACTCTTTCATTCAGGTTTGTCCCTCTCAGTATCCCTGGGCTTCCTGTTCTTACTGGTTGCCCCCACCCACCAACACATCCTTGACTGTGCTCATCTGATCCCCTCTTCCCTGGACCTGGGTCAGGTCCCAACTCCTGCAGGGAGCCCTCCCAGCCCACTTCTGTCTGCAGGGACCTGCCCTCCTTGCAAATAAAGAGGGAGACTGGGTCTCAGAAGTGTAAACAGAACGAGGAAGAATGGAAATCATGACTGGAAGCAAAGTGATTTCTGAGATGAGTGGGACTCAGGTCTGAAAGATAAGAAACCTATCTGAACCTCTGTTTCTTCCTCCTAAACAAAGACTGAAGTTGTTTATTCCTACGTCTCTTGTCCCTCTTTTGGGAGAGGAAGAGAGACGCCCTCAGATTTAGAAACGAACAAACCCATAAACCACCATGTCCTCAGTGACTACCATGTGCCATGTGCTTTTTGACTTTTAAAAATTTATTTGTTTATTTTTACTTATTTTGGGAACTCACTGAGTTGCTTAGGGCCTCACTGAGTTGCTGAGGCTTTGAACTTGCCATCCTCCTGTCTCAGCCTCCCAAGCCACTGGGATCACATGTGTGCGCCACCGTGCCTGGCTGCCATGTGCTTTTATGCACAACCATCTCGAGTTAAGGGCCCTTGTCCCCATTGTACAATTGAGGAAACCAAGGCACAGAAAATGAGTCACCTGGCCCAGAACACAGTTTGTAAATAGTAGAGCACAGCATTGACCCAGTTCTGCCCCGCTCTGCAGTGTGAGCTATTTCCACTTAGGCAGCTCCTCTCCCTCCTCATCCCACCTCAGGGCAGAACTTCTTAGTGCTTTAGAGCCCCCTTGAGAAAATGGGAGGCTTCCCCTTCTGTTTCTAACAGGAGACATCTGGGGGTGGTGTGATTTCCCCCTGAGATCTGGGCATGAGGCAGGTGTTAGTGTGGTCTCCAAGCACCCCTCCACGGGGAGTGTTTCAAGCTTGGTGCTAGTTAACATGGAGTTCACCTCGATATTCGTCTAGTGACCTCCGTAGTAACCACAAACCCTGGCATCTCCTCCCTGGACTTAACTCTCAGCATATTGTCTTATCACCTGCCACCTTGGCCCACTCACCCAAAAGATTCTGGCCAATATCACAAGAGGGCTGGATGTCCTCCTGGTTCCTGAGTCCTGAGCTCCTCAAAAGTCATAGACAACAGAGGATGCAGGGGCAGACCAGCCTGTGAGGCCTGAGAGGAGGTAGTGAGCCACCATGAAAGAAGCAGCTTTAGAAGTGGCCTGGGAAGGTGGTCAGGGGCCAGCCGTCTGTCTCCCCAAGTCAGTTCTGAACACTTCTGAACTAATACTGCTTATGGGCCCACTGCCCCAGGGCAATGTCAAAGCTGGAGGAAAGAGGCCCCCTTCTAGCTCCACAATTCCTTTCCTAAAAGGACAAGTGAGTGCCTGGACATGTGGGCCTGTTCCTGAGACCTGCTGTGCAGCACCTAAAGCCTTCATTTCTCTATCTTGTTCGAGGGTCTGAGAGCTGTTTCCTAAGCCAGCCACAGCTCACACTTTGCTGAAGTAGGTGGCCACCTCCTTGCGTGGAGGCCGAGGCCCGCCCCCAGCCCAGCCATTGCCCATCAGAGGCTCCTGGCCCAGCCGCAGTGGTGGTTTGCATTTGTGCCAACTGGTCAGCAGCCTGTTGATGGCACCTTGGTCGGTGATGCCACGCAGCTTTTCCCTCTCTTCCTCAGTACCCTCGGTGGGGCTGTGGGAGGCGGATGGAGAGGTTGCTGTGGCCAGTGGCCCGTGAGCGTGACCCAGCTCCAGGTCATGGTTCATGGCTTCGAAGAACTGCTGGATGCAGACCTTGGCGAAGGCCTTGGCGTGCTCTGTGCACGTTTCATCAAAGAGCTTGCGCTCAATGTCGATGTAGTGGGACCAGTACTTGCTCTTGAGGAAAGCAGCCTGTGTGAAGCAGGGCCTCACGGAGCGCACCACAAATGCCAGCAGTGTAGTCAGCAGCACGAAGGACCAGCCTAGTGCCTGCGGGAAGAGGGAAGCGTTAGGCTTCCTGCCTCCGAACCTGTACAAACCCCCAAAGCACTCTCTGGAGCCTTTAGTGAGGAGAGCAGGAACTGGACAAGTGACTTCACTTCACCTCTTGGCCTCCTCTGTTTCCTCATCTGCAAAATGGGCATGGATATACCCACCTCTTGGGAACGAGAGCTTGTGTGAGGCACCTGCTTTGTTGGCTGGGTCCTCGTGCACAGAGGTAAACTCCAGACCCTGGAGTGAGTCGGCCTGGTTTGAATCCTGTCTGCACTGCTCAGTAGCTGACCAAGAGTCGCACAACCTGACTACTCTGTGGCCCGCCTGTAAGATGGGGCTAGTGATAGCACCTATCTCATAGTTCCCATGAGGACTAAAAGAGGTAATAGACTTAATAGCGCCTGGTACATACATAGCACCCACTAACTTTTAGCCACCACCATTCCAATAGGCCCTCAGGACCATGCCTCTTCCTTCGAGAAAGCTTCTTCACCTCCTTAGGCCATAGTGGCCCTTCTTCCTCAGAGTTCTGTGCCTCTCCTTTAGCTCCTGCTACTGAAACCTGCACCAGGTGAGCCTCTTCTCCACGTGGGTGGAGCTGAGGCCTCAGGGGTCCCAGAGAAGCCCTGGACAAGCTCTTAAACTCGGCTGAAAAACTGGACCCTTGTCTCCAGCTCTGCTCTGTCAGTACTGTGAGGGCGCTGAAGGCCCCACCTGGGCCCCCAGCTGCACGCAGCAGCATTGGACAGGTCAGACCCGGGATGAGGGGCAAATGCAAATACCTATCCCAGGGGGCCAGGCCAGGAGCTGCAGAGCATGTGGTTGGGGGGTGAGGGGGGCGGGGGGCCCTCAGGCTGCTCAATGAGCAAGTGTGTGCCCAGAGGAGCTGGATCTTCAGATGTTTCAAATGAACTTGGAAATGTGATTTTTATATAAAAAAATTCTGAGTTTTAGAGGAAGCCAATTAATTCTAAAGGTGACTTTAGAGTTAAAATTCTGAAGGCCAAATGAAATGTATCTATAGGCCAGGCAGCCATGGCCTCTGGAGGCCCTTTCAGCTTATGATGTGGTAATTTAAAGGTCAGGTAAAGGAACAGCTGCTTAGACCCTAAGGCCTGGGGTGGTGGGACAAGTGCCCATAGGAGTGGAGACACTGGTCTGTCTGGGAGAGAAACAGAGCTCGGTTTGGGTACTCACAGTGGGAGACTCACAGGTGGCATCTGGGTGGTGAGGGAGGCCTCATTGGAGAAGGGTCCCAGCTGCAGAGGGGAGCCCGGGGCGGGGGGGTTTGCACTCACCAGAGCAGAATGTGCATATTTCTCCAAGCCTTCCAGGGCAGGCCCAGCCTCCTGCCCCTCTCCTTGACTGACCATCAAAGGGCTAACAGAGTGGTCCTTTAATTCGTATCCCAACTGTGGATCTCCCTTACCCACGTGCTCCCTTCCAAGACACCCAGACCCTCAGCTCCCACTCTCTGAGCAGGGAGGTGCCAGATAGGGGCATTTGCCAGGGAAATATACCCAAATGGCCCAGCCACCCACCAGCTCTCCAAGGCCCAGGCTGAAAGAGAAAATGATGCAAATTCCCTCAGCTTCTAAGCTCAGAGCTCAGGATGGAGGAGATGGGGTCAGCTGAGCTACTGGATCCTCTTTAGGGACCTCAGGACAGAGGACAAATCTGCTACACTGAGAGAGCCATAGCACTTTCTCCAGGTGGCCCAGTCTCAGAGAAAGTTCATTGGCTCTGCTTTCAGTCTCGACTGGGGAAATCTCCCCCCTCTCCCACTCCATCCGGGGGGAACCCCATTTTGAGAGTTGGGGGAACAGGGCCTTCCAAGAGGGACTCTGGTCTGTGAGCAGACCCGGCCCCCTCACCTGGGAGATGCAGCGCAGGTAGCGCACGGCCACCTCACGGGC